GGCTGAGGCAGAAGGATTGCCTAAACTCAGCAGGTCGAGGCTGTGGTGGTCATAAGTGTGTCACTGCACTCCAGCCTGAGTGACAAGATTGAGACGCCAACTCAAAAAAAAAAAAGTACAGACATACCTCAGAGACACTGTAGACTTAGCTTCAGACCACTGCAATAAAGCCAAGTATCACAATAAAGCAAGTCACACAAATTTTCAGTTACCCAGTGCATAAAAGTTATACTATACTGTAGTGTATAAACTGTGCAATAGCATTATAGCTAAAAAAAGTACATACCTTAATTTTAAAATACTTTACTGCAGCCGGGCTCGGTGGCTCAGCCTGTAATCCCATGCCTTTGGGAGGCTGAAATGAGTGGATTGCCTGAACCCGCGGGTTCAAGACCCGCCTGGGCAACGAGACCTCATCTCTACAATAAATCAAAAAATCAGCCAGGCGTGGTAGCACACGCCTGTAATCCGGCTACTCGGAAGGCTGAGGCAGAAGGATTGCCGGAGCCCAGCAGGTCGAGGCTGCGGTGGCTGGGAGCGGCCACTGCACTCCAGTCAACTCAAAAATAAAAAAATAAATAAAATACTTTATTGCTTATAAATGCTTACACAGAGACACAACGTGAGACACAACATTTTTCCAACAGCACAGATAGACTTGCTTGATGCAGGTTGCCATAAACTTTCAATTTGTAAAAAACATAGTATTTGTGAGGTGCAATAAAGTGAAGTGCAGTAACACCCAGGGATACACATACATGGAAATGCAGGGACCCAAACAGCTATAACAATCTTGAAAAAGAACAAGGCTGGAGACCCAAGCTTACTGATTTCAAAACTGACTTCAAACGGCAGTAATTAGAACAGTATGATATTGACATAAGGACAGATAAATAAACAGTATTGGAAGTACAGAAAGAAACCCTTACATGTATGGTCAACTGACTTTTAACAAGGGTGCCAAGACAATAAAACGGGGAAAAAAGAGTCTTTTCAACAAACGGTGCCTGGATGACTGGGTATCTGCTTGCAAAAAAATACACCTGGAAGCCCACCTCACATCATATACAAACATTAACCCCAAATGGGTCACAGACCTAAACATAAGAACTAAAACCACACACCTCTTAGGAGACCTAGAGAATGGACACCTGCTTACAAAAAACTTATACCTGAATGTTCCCAGCATTATTCATAACACCCAAAGAGCAGAAATAACCAAAATGTCCATAAAATAACGAATAAATAGATAAAGGATGGTATATTCATACAATGGAAGATTATCTGGCCATAAAAAGGAATAAAGTATTGATACATGCTATAATATGGATGATCCTTGAAAACATTATACTAAGTGAAAAATGCCTGTCACGAGGGCCACATTATTCCAGGTATAAATTTATATGAAATGTCCAGAATGGGCAAATTTAGATACAACATCAAAAGTAAAAGAAACAAGCCGGGCTCGGTGGCTCAGCCTGTAATCCCACGCCTTTGGGAGGCTGAGGTGAGTGGATTGCCTGAGCCCGCTGGTTTGAGACCTGCCTGGGCAGGCGAGACCTCATCTCTACAATAAATCAAAAAAATTAGCCGGGCGTGGTAGCGTGCGCCTGTAGTTCCAGCTACTTGGAATGCTGAGGCAGAAGGATTGCTGGAACCCAGCAGGTCGAGGCTGCAGTGGCCGGGAGCGGCCACTGCACTCCAATCTGGGCGACAGTGAGACTCCAACTCAAAAAAAAAAAAAAAAAAAAGTAAAAGAAACAAAAGAAAATACAGCTAAATCGAACTATATAACAATTGAAATCTTTTGTGCTGCAAGCAATACCATTCAGAAACTAAAAAAATAACCCTAGAGAAAGTATTTACAAATCATGGATCTGATAAGGGATTAGCATCCAGAATAAGTCAAGAACTCTTAAAACTCAGTAACAAAAAGACAAATAACACAATTTAGAAATGGGTAAAGGGTGTGGTGGCTCACGCCTGTAATCCCAACACTTTGGGAGACCAAGTCAAGAAGAATGTTTGAACCCAGGAGTTCGAGACTAGCCTGGGCAACATAGCAAGACCTCGTCAATACAAAAATATAAAATGAGCCAGGTGTGGTGATGCATGCCTGTAGGCCCACCTACTCGGAGGCCTGATATGGAAGGATTGCGTGAGCCCAGAAGATCAAAGCTTTGGTGAGCTGTGATGGTGCCCCTGCCCTCCAGCCTCAACTCAGAGGGGAAAAAAGAAGAAATGAGCAAAGAATTTGAACAGACATTCCTCCACAGAAGATACACAAATGTCCAATGAGCACATGAAAAAGATGTTAGATATCATCAGTCATTAGAGAAATGCAAATCAAAACCATAATGAAGTATCACTTCATACCCATTAGGATGGCTATAATAAAAAAGACAGACAATAACAAATGTCAACAAGGATGTGAAGAAATTGGTGCCAGAAATGTAAAATGTACAGTCATTGTGGAAAACAGTTTGGCATTTACTCAAAAAATTAAACATTGAGTTACCACCTGACCCAGAAATTCCACTCCTATGAATACATCTGAGAAATGAAAACACATATCCATACAAAATCTTATACTTATAGCAGTACTATTCATGATAGCCAAAGACTAGAAATAATTCAACTGCCTACAAACTGATAAATAAATAAATAAAATGTGGTCTATTCATACAAGTCAGCATGATTGAGTCATAAGAAAGACAGAATGGGCTGGGTGCAGTGGCTCACATGTATAATCCTAGCACTTTGGGAGACGGAGGCAAGAGGATTGCCTGAGCTTATGGGTTCCAGATCAGCCTGCGCAACATGGCAAGATCTCTTCTCTATAATAAATCAAAAAATTAGCCAGGCCCACTGGTGGTGCATGTCTGTAGTTCCAGCTACTTGGAAAGCTGAAGTGGAAGGTTGCCTGAACCCAGCAGGTGGAGGCTGTGGTGGCTGTTAAGTATGCCACTGTACCCCAGCCTGGGTGACAGAGTGAGACCCCAACTCAAAAAAAAGAAAGAAAAAAAGACAGAATGGTGTTGGAACTGTTAGATGCCTGCTGATTCATGCTGCAGCATGGATGACCACGAAAGCACTGTAGTAAGCAAAAGAAGCCAGTCACAGAAGCCTACATACTATATGATTACACCTATATGAAATGTCCAGAATAGGCAAATCCACAGAAACAGAATGCAGGTGGGTAGTTACTTCAGGTTAGGGAAGGGATAATGAGGCGTGGCTGCTAATCAGTACAAGGTTTCTATTGAGGGAACAAAGATGTTCTAAAATTAGATTGTAGTGATGGTTTCAAAATCTTATGAATACATTTTAAAAACGCTGATTTGTATTTTAAATAGATGAACTGTATGCTATGTGAAGTATGTTTTTTTTTTTTTTGAGTTGCAGTCTCACTCCTTTGCCCAGGTTGGAGTGCAGTGGCACGCATGCTCACGGCCACCCCAGCATTGAAAATCTGGGCTCCAGTGGACCTTCTGCCTCAGCCTTCCGAGTAGCCAGAACTATAGACATGCACTACCACACCCGGCTATTTTTTATGTTTTATTGTAGAGACGAGGTCTCACCAAATTGCCCGGGCTGGTCTTGAACCCACGGGCTCAGGCAACCCACTCGCCTCAGCCTCCCAAAGTGCTAGGATTACAGGCTGAGCCACCAAGCTCAGCCGACAAAAAGCTTCTAAAAATAGCATTGTGTAGCCGGGCTTGGTGGCTCAGCCTGTAATCCCGCGCTTTGGGAGGTTGAGGTGAGTGGACTGCCTGAGCCCACGGGTTCGAGACCCGCCTGGACAGGCAAGACCTCATCTCTACAATAAATCAAAAATCAGCCGGGCGTGGTAGCGCGCGCCTGTAGTTCCAGCTACTCGGAAGGCTGAGGCGGAAGGATCGCCGGAGCCCAGCAGGTCGAGGCTGCGGTGGCCGGGAGTGGCCACTGCACTCCAGTCTGGGTGACAGAGTGAGACTCCAACTCAAAAAATATATTTTTTTTTAATGAAAGATAGATGACAAAAGCCTGTTAATCATTATTGACTCTGAGTAATGGGTATTTGTGTGTTCATTATGCCATTCAAAAACCTGTTGCAATAAAAAGTCAAGTTAATAAAAGTTTCCCTCTTATCAATAAATAGATGTGAGGCCAGAACCTTTAAAAGCTTCAAGATAGCCTGTAATCCTAGCACTTTGGGAGGCTGAGGAGAGATTGCCTGAACTCAGGGATTCGAGACCAGCCTGGGCAACCTGGTGAAACCTCATCTCTACAATAACTCAAAAAATAAGCCAGGCATGGTAGCACATACCTGTGGTTCCAGCTACTTGGAAGGCTGAGGTGGAAGGATCGTCTGAGCCCAGCAGGTCAAGACTACAGTGGCCATGAGCATGCCACTGCACTCCAGCCTGGGTGACAGAGTGAGACTCTGACTCAAAAAATAAAAATAAGAAAATTTAAAAAATAAAAAACCTTCAAGACAGTATGGTGGAAGGGAACTTGGATATCATCTATAAAGTCTTTTTTTTTTTGAGTTGGAATCTCACCATTGCTCAGGCTGGAGTGCAGTGACGCACTCATGGTCACGGCAGCCTCGACCTGCTGGGCTTAAGCAATCCTTCCACCTCAGCTTTCCAAGTAGCTGGAACTACAGGCGCGCGCTACCACACCCAGCTAATTTTTCTTGAATTATTGTAGAGATGAGGTCTTGCCAAGTTGCTCAGGCTAATCTCGAACCCATGGGGTCAGGCAGTCTTCTCACCTCGGCCTCCCAAAGTGCTGAGATTATAGGCATGAGCCACCACGCCTGGCCTATAAAGTCATTCTTAACAGATGGGACCCAGAGAAGGAAAATAACTTTCTTAGGAATACACAAAAGACAGGGTGGCAGGAGTCAAGCTGGAGAGAAGTGGGCAGGGACCTTGTCCTCGAGGCGTGTCTAGCTTAACAAGACTGAGGACCCAGCAAGCAGCTTGTGAGTACAGGGAAGGCCCAGCACCTACTTGAGCTTCAGCTCCCTGGTGAGCTCATTCTGAGTCTGCTCCAACTCTTGGCGCTTCTTGATGTGCTCTTCTTGGAGGTCGTGGATCTCAGCCTTCACTGCCTGAAGCTTGGAGAAGAGCTGGAATGGAAGGGAGAGGCAGGTGAGGAGGGCTTTCAGTCAAAGGGCAGAGTGCTCTTTCCCCACCAAGTCTCAGGGTACCTCTGCCTGGTCTCATTCCTTTTATACCTTTTTGAGTTTTTTGGTCTTAATGTCCACCTCTTGCTGCAAGGAGCTGTACGTCTCTTTAAGTTCCAAGGTCTCCTCATCTCGACTTTCCATCTGTTGTTGGATTTCTCTTTCTCTGCGTTTCTGAGCAACATCATAAAAAATCCGTCAGTGTGCCATAGAGACTATGTCTATACAAGAATACAGGGCTGGGTGCTCCAGATCAGAGTCTTCAGCTAGGACGAGGCTGACACATCATTTTCATTCCCTCTGAGAGAGTCTAGCACAAAACACATTTGCTCTGTAGTATAAACACACCTCATCCACCCCTCTCCCCAAAAAGAGCGAACAGTTACCTGCTCTGCAATTTCCTGTCGTTTCTGCTCCAGGATTTTCTGCTGTTCATTCGTATGATCTACAATATTTTTTCCTCCAACAAGCAGCTTGCTCTCCATGGCCTGAGTGAGAAACAAAGTAGAATCCATCTCGTGAACCATCTCCCTCAGAGGGGAGCCTGTGAAAGACAAAGAGCTCAGGCTTGAACCAAAAGGGACAAGCTCTGGGAAAAAGCCACTGTGCTTAGCTGTACGTTCTACTGATGACCCGTGGCTGATGTGGTCTCCCCAGAGGCTTTGCCTCAGGAGCACTGGATACAGCTGCTTCAGACATGCATGAGGTGCAGATGTCCTTAGCAAAACATTTTTTTGGTTTGTTTCTACAAAGTATTAGCCCCACTTAGAAAAGATCAAGCAGCTCCTATGTGCTAGGTAGTAGGGATGCAAGTGTGAGTTCGAATCACAAAGCCCAGAGTCCACTGAGCAACACAGGCAAGTGAGAAGTTTTAGCCACAGGCTACCAAAAGCCACTATGAGGAAAGTACAGCAACCCATGGGAGAGGCACACTGGGAGGAGAGAATTCAGATTTCTGGAGGGAGCCAAGGAAAGTTTCCTACCTGAAGGGTCTTCTACACAGACAGCTGAAGTAAAAATTAGGAACTCGCTAAGACAAAAAAAGAAGGTTTTGTGTGTGTATGTGAGGGTAGGGTAGGAAGAGATGACACATGAAGCTGGCCTGAAGCCCTGCTGAGGAGACTAAGCTTGACCCTGAGAGCCTGATGCGCTCTTGGAGCATGAGGATACACACTCAGATTTGCGTTTTAGAAACACTGCTTCCTTGCACTGTTTGGCAAGGAAGTTGGCAAGGGGCTAGCAGAATGGAGAGAGACCAGACTAGAAGCTGCTGCGGGGTCTGAGTCTGGGTTAGGCCTCCTTCCTAGAGGGGAAGGTAAAGAAGACAGGTCCACAAGACCTTGACAAGGCAGGATCCAGAGACCTTGGGCCTGACTGGGCCATAAGAGAGATGGAGGGGCCACTAGCAAGGACAACTCCCAGGATCCTGCTTCAACGAGCTAAGGCAGGAGCAGGCTCTGGGTGGCCAAGAGCATCTCACCAGAGATGCCCAGTTGGTAGAAGGTGATAAAGCCTGGATGGCAGGAGATAGCTCTGGGCTAGATATACAGATTGGGAGGCTTCAGTGTTAAGATGGGGCTGAAGCCATGGGAATGATTTGTCCCTGAAAAGCATGGAACCCCAAAACTCCACAACCTGCCTTTTGAGGAACATATTATAAACACTCACTATAACCCGGCTGCCAGTGAGTCCTTGGTCCCTTCCTCTTTTCTCAAATGAAGACGCTAAACTGAATGACTAGCCTCCACCCCCACACATATACCTTTCAGTTCTTTTTTTTTTTTTGAGTTGGAGTCTCACTCTGTCACCCAGACTGGAGTGCAGTGGCCGCTCCCGGCCACCGCAGCCTCAACCTGCTGGGCTCTGGCGATCCTTCCGCCTCAGCCTTCTGAGTAGCCAGAATTACAGGCACGCGCTACCATGCCCGGCTAATTTTTTGATTTATTGTAGAGATGAGGTCTCGCCTGCCCAGGTCT